CAAACTCCTGGGTTCAAGTGATCCTTCTGCCGCCGCCTCCTGAGTAGCTGGGATTATTACAGCCCCCTGCCACAACACCCAGCTAATTTTTCCTATTTTTAGTAGAGATAGTCTCATTCTTCCTCAGGCTAGTCTTGAAATCCTGAGCCCACGCAATCCTCCCTCCTCAGCTTCCTAAGTAGCTATGACTACAGGCTACCACCACAACACCCAGCTAATTTTTCCCATTTTTAGTAGAGATGGGGTGTCACTCTTGCTCAGGCTGGTCTCAAACTCCTGAGCCCAAACAATCCTCCCACCTCAGGCTCTCAGAGCACTAAAGGTGATTACAGGCACGAGCCACTGCATCTGTCCCTATTTTACAAATTACAGAATTGGCATTTCAGGAAGTATTTACACACAGGTAATAAGAGACAGGGCTATGATTTGAACCTTGGCCTAACTCTAGACCCTGTGCCTTTTTTTATTTTTTTTAGACAGAGTCTCACTATGTCACCCTTGGTAGAGTGCCGTGACATCAGAGCTCACAGTAACCTCAAACTTGGGCTTAAGTGATTCTCCCACCTCAGCCTCCCAAGTAGCTGGGACTACAGGTGCCTGCCACAACACCTGACTATTCTTTTTGTTGTTGTTGCAGTTATCATTGTTGTTTAGCTGGCCTGCTCCAGGTTCAAACCCTCCAGCCTCGATGCATGTGGCCAGCACTGTAACCACTATGCTATAGGCAACAAGCCGACCCTGTGTCATCTGTAATAAATCCCTCTATATAGGCCAGGTACAGTGGCTCATGTAATCCTAGCACTCTGGGAAACCAAAGCGGGTGGATTGCCTGAGCTCACAGGTTGGAAACCAGCCTAAGTGAGAGCGAGATCACATTTCTAAAAACAGCTGGGCGTTGTGGCTAGGCACCTATAGTCCCAGCTATTCAGGAGGCATAGGCAAAAGAATCACTTGAGCCCAAGAGTTTGAGATTACTGTGAGCTATGACGTCATGGCACTCTACCGGAGGTGACAAAGTGAGACTCTAAAGAAATAAATAAATAAATCCCCCCAAACAGACCCTAACTACTGTCCCTAATCAAAGTATTCCCAACCTAAGGTAATGATACAAATTCTGAGGACAAGCTAGTTCTTAAAACCTACCAAAGGACCAAGCAGGCTGGGATCTTGTCAAGCTTATCTGTCAAGATACTTTCAACACATAACACAGTGCTTATAGTATAACAAAGACTTAAAAAAGATTTGTTGGGGAGGTAAAATGGGGAAGAAG